AAAAAACATTATAATAANACGTTTAAACTTACCCACTAAATACAGGGTATCTGCTACATTTTAGATGATCAAATCCATGACTTTTTATGACTCATTCTAAGAAATTTTCATGACTTAACGAAGTTACTATTTTCTCCGAAAAAAAAACAAAAAAAAAAAAACATTATTATAACATTCATTGAAATGATAGGTATAACAAAAACTGTTATACTCTGCATCTTCATATTTATAGATTTTAGAAACAGAGTAAAGAAAAAGCTGAAGCAATAAAAAAGCTGAAAAATACAAAAGCAAATAATCTTTTTTTCTCTGCAGAATTATATTCTAAAGATACTTTTCTTGTTCATCGGAAAGGAAAGAAATACTATGAGTTTTAGGCTAGAAAACGAATAATAGAGACACTCCCCGTGAAGATGACGAAATGCCATCTAAATAACCCTCAGGTAGTTTATGGGGACAGGTCGTATATTTGGATTTGTTCCTGTGGCTTTTTAATAGGAAAAGTTGATGTCAGTCACCCATAAGTTTAAAAACATTGTCAAGAATTGCGTACCTCTTAACTCGATCAGATGATAGTGCGGAGAGTTATTGACAATGTCAACCTTCATCTATGAAAAGGTACACGTCTTATATACTAGTGAAGTGGAATTGTATTTTTTTGTAGTGGTAGACACAATTACACAGTACTCCGGAATTATAGTTGATTCATTGCTGTTTTGTGAGAAGCCAGGAGAGCTGTATTAAGATCACTGTACTTTTTGAGTGCGAATTGTGAGAGCTGTATTAAGTTCACGGTCGTGCTGCCTTCAGTAGTCAAGTGAATATCTTGTGTGCGATCGAGATTGAGTAGCAACAGAGTGAGGAGATGGATAATGTCATAGTCACGAGTTGACTGTACAATGTGGACTATCCATCGAAGTAGGCGTGTTTAGATCGAAGTTCACGTCGCGTCCGAGGGCCACCTTTTCACAGACGAAGGTGGACACTGTCGATAACTACTCGACTCACAATATCTTTGCAACATGAGAAGATCATTACAATACTTATGTTGAGGAAGAACATATTCATCAGTAAAATCAACATTGAATAATAAAGTTGTGCTACAATTTGAAAATAATGTGTGACACAACAATTGTCAGATAAATCTTAAATAAGGACAATGCTGAATATGAATTTTTTTTAAATTTCTTTTCCAAAACTCAAGCACCAGGGTTTATATGTTTTTTAATGTTAACAGATTTTGACTATTTCTGGTATTTAATTATAACAACATTATTTTTTTTATCGCATTCACTTTTAGGAAGTCATAGAAATTAAAAATAATATATTATACAGGGAACCAAACATTTATTTTAGTTTGTCAAACGAATTGACTTTATTTGATGAGTTGTTTTTAAATATCAAAACAGCTTTTTATACATTTGGTGATACAACAGAATAGAGGGTTGAATAACTTTCACTTACAAGTGGCAAATTAACTTTCACTTTCATAAGTAATTTAAAATTTTATGTATAGAAGAAGTGATTTGAGATAAACCTAGAAAGTAACCAAGCAACGCTGATTCTTTTTTCTTCTGCAGAATATCAAAATACAAACAAATTAAGGCAGGATTACACAATGAAGTAATCCTGTTATTATTCAGGGTTCATACAGAGATCAGAAGAAGAAATCCAAGGAGTATCCAAGGAGCCCAAAATTTTAAGGACTTATCAAAAATTAAAAAGCAGTTATTAAAAGGAACTGACAAAAATGTATAGTTTGCATATTTCTTTCTAGCCCTGTTGAAATAAATTTTGACTTTGTGAAACTTCATCAAGAAAAATAAATAAAGTTATCACTTTTACACATAAATACATTTTCCAGTTTCAAATATTTTAATAAATCTTGTTGAAGTACAGATATTAAAGATTAACATAAAAACCTACCAATCTTATATTTTTAAATTTAAATACATAAGAAAATCTAAGGCATATATTATACAAAAAAAAAAAAAAAAGAAAGAAAATCACAGTAAATTATTAATATAGTTTGCTTGTCACATGTAAAATTATTTGCTGTTATTTTTTTCTTCTAACTCTTGCAATTCAATTTTTTTTCTTTTAAATTTTTTCTTAAACTATTAGATTTTGACAGCTAAGTCATATAATTTAGTCTCCCTGTTTGGACAGCAAATTCATCAGCCTACTTAGTAAGTTCATCTATGCAACACAATAATCTAAGGAGTTTCTAAGGACTAATTTAGAAATCTAAGTAGTTCCAAGTACTCCTTGGAGACTTTATTTCCAAGGAGTATAAAAGTCTGTACGCACCCTGTAAAATTTGTTTGCATTCAGATATTTTGAAAACATTTTCTTAGAATTTGAAACTTTGTGATTTACAAACACCAGTGGAGGAAAAAAACAGAATTTGCCATCAAAAGTATCTATCACAGTACTAATGGAATGAAATACTTAATAACTACCACACATCTTAAAAAAGTTTTCATTCATAAATTAAGTCCGTCGAATAGTTTCAAGTAATTTTTTCGAAATTAAATAAAAAGTTTTTGCAAGACTGTGCTGTAAAATAATTAACATGTAGATAGTTCATCGGCTTTATGACAGTACATTTTTTCTGAAATACATTGACTGCTTCCCTGATTATCCCGATTTAACTCGGTTATGTATAGATTGCAAATAGTATTTATTATCCCGAGAAAACTGGGGCATACCAGAATTTGTCAGTACGTTTTGCTTGATCACGTTTTTCTCGACCAGAAGCAAAAAAAATAAAAAATAAATAAATAAATATAAAAAAAAATAATAATCTGTTGTGATTGGAAGTTTGCCAAGTTTTGCTGTTGGATTGTATATACGATGTTTGCTGAATTTGCATAGGAAAAAAAAAAAAAAAACAGTAAAAAAATTGCAAATCACTTCACTGGCGTTTGGAAAGCATCACTTTGCGTTGTTCTCTTTCTATCATACAAAGACTAATATTTAACTTTTTTCATTTGCTCGAGATAATGTGGGAAAGTTAGGAGTCTGTTACGAAGAAATTTGGGTCCGTTAACGAACCCTTCACAAAATATCTTTTCATAAAAACGAACCCTTCACAAAATATTTTAACTTACAAACGGACCCTTCACAAAATAATTTCTCTCTTAATCGGACTCTTTACAAATTAGTTTATCTTCATTATTGTTTTGTTAATCAAATAAACCCTTCCCGGGGGGGGGGAGGGAAAGACAGGTGTAAAGGAACTAAGTTTTGTCTACGGCAGACGCTTCTTCCTTCATACGTCCGAAACGAATATTTTGAGTTCAGCAGTATAGGCTAAATACCAAATAGTATTTGTATGTTGCATCTCTAATTTAGTATCAGCAATTTCTGTTTATTTTTGAAAATTTAATTCTTTTTAATTATAATTTTACAGTGTTGAGCATAATCTTGTATCTATTTACAATTTAAAAACTCCTTGAAAAAGTTTTTTCAACAACAGGACCCAATTTGCACAAATTCACAAAAGCAGGACCCTGGTTGAAAGAATGTGACTTAACGTTTATTTTATATTCACAAATTACGACAAATTTTTTCACAATTTTACAGAAACAGAACCTTTCACAAAATGTCTGGACAGACCCCTGATAGTAAACTGATAAATTAAATGTGTTTTACACATAAAAAAAATTAAAATTTGAACTTAAACCTTGTACATTATGTTTTGTTTTAGTTCCTTATATTTATTAACAAAAAAATTTTTTTCTTGATTTTTGGAATTAAAAAAAAAATTTTTTTTGTAAGGAAAACGGTTAATTAACTCCTTAACCCCTTTGTCACGAAACAGAATTATAAGACTTGAAAAATCGCGTTACAACAGCAATTCACACAAACAATTTTCAGATGATTGCAGTTTGAATTTGGAAAAGGACATGCGCGGCTCACGTCTTACTTTAATTTACTGAGACCTCAAATAATAATATTTATTTTATTATTATTTTTAACATTTACTTTCATGCAGTTTTGAAAACTTAAATAATACAACAAGGCTCAAAAAAATTAGGTTGAAGCAAAATGATAAGATAGAATATAAATTTTTTTTTCTTCATTTAGACATAAATGTTCAGTATTATAACATATAGTTTGCAGAACATTTCATAAACATAGAGTATAATATGAAGCTAATAAAGGTCTAACAAGAAAACTGCACAAATAACATACCTGCCAACATTGAAGAAATAAAATAACGGAGATTTAAACAAGCGACATTTCTTAGGCTACGCGTAAAGTTTTGATACATCATGCATAATCATGTAAAGTCAAAAAGAGAAATTCAAAATAGGAAATAATATAGGAACTCACATTTAGAGAAGTAAAAATTATGTATATAAATCTTATTATAAAGAACATTTCTTAAAATCATTATTTATAATTAAACTATTTTATTTCATGAACATTGTCGAACAGTCGACCCAATTTTTTTGATTTACGACTACTGATGTTTGACTCCATAACCTTGTCATTTTGAACACAAACCAGAAGACAAAGGGACTCCTGGATCAATCAAGTATTGGGAGAAATCTGCCTTCATGGAGGAACAAACCCGCATTTGCGCTACACGGAGAGGAAAACCATGAAGTGTCGCACAATCAGCCCGACTGCAAGGAGTACTTAAACTACCAACACTCAACATACGGCAGTATTGGCAATAACACTATCTGTTGAGGAATAAGAGAAGTATTTTTGCCATCAGTGAACACTTTATTGCCAATATTTTTATTTATTTTTTTTAAAATTTCACCAAAAAAATACGGAGAAATTTGAGAATATACAGGTAAACAGGAGATAGTCGTAAAATACAGGAGTCTTCGTTAAAAAATAGGAGACTTGGCAGGTATGATAATAAATAAAATACCATCATTTATTAAAACAGCGTGAAGGTAAAAATTTTTTTCATAAACCAAATACAACACGTAGGGCGAAAATAAAAAAACATCACGATCTTGCTTGAAAGAAAGAAATAGGTTGTCACATTTTATTTTAGCAATCAAATAAAACAATTTCAACACAAAAATTTTTTTATCACACCTCATAGTTTAAATAGCACAGTTTCTATTTCAGACAAGTTAAAATTGTAAATATTTATTTAAATAGCTTCCAAATTGTTAAATTGCACTTAAATAATTATTAAAAAAACAAAATTAAAAAGTGCTACACTTGTAAAAAATGTGTCAAGGTTTAAAACATAAAATAACAAACAACTACATGCATAAAAATAATATTTTTACTAACCAAAATATTTAAATAAAATAGAACATATACATTTTCTTTATATATATAAATACCAAATTGAAAAGAGATCCCCAAAACTATCACATTTATGTTAAATGTTGCACCATAATAGAAGAGTTGTTACTATCATAATTACTTTTAATGTACAAATAAAAGTTTCTCACAAAATCTAAATAAATTTTTAATTATTCAATATTTCAACTGAATTTTTGTTGGCAATTTATTTCTTAAAAATAAATTTTGTGTTGACAAAATAGATTTGAGATACATAACTTTGGTTCAAGAATAATTATTTTTTCATGAATAATTCCAAGAATGTTTCATGACTTACCAAAGTTGCTATTTTCTCCGACAAAAACACAACACTAAATTTAAAAAAGCATCATAATAACATTAATTGCTATGAGAGGAATAACCAAAATTGTTGTACTCTGCATCATCATATTCATGGATTTTAAATTTAAAAAGAAAACAGAGTAAAGAAAGAGTTAAAATAATTAAATAGCTGGAAAAAAAATACACAAAAGAAAATAATTTTTCTTTTTCTCTGCAGAATTATATTCTAAAGATACTTTTCTTGTTCATCCGAAAGGAAAGAAATACTTTTGATTTTTTCTGTTCTCATTTCGGAATTTAAAAAAAAATTCGTCAATGACTGGCATGCTTCAGCTAGAATTTTAAATTGATAAAATAAAAAGATAATAAAAAAATTTTGCAATCAAGGAAGTTTAAAAGATATTTTGCTCTAGAAATGACGTTCTTTCCTTCATTTTTTGAAAGAACACCATAATTTTTAAAGAACAGGAAAAAAACATTTTATATTTTAATAAAATATGATCATGAATGGGGATTTTGTTACACATTCAGATATTCGGAGCACCGTGAAATCAGGAGTCGGGGTCAATTCCATTTTAAAAATTAGATTTTTAAACCCAAATCCATGACTTTTTATGATTTTTTTTTAAAAAAATAGTTAAAATCATGAGATTTCATGACAAATTTTGTTCAATACCAAAATCCGTGATTTTCCACGATTTCTCATGACTGTCCATGTTTGTAGATACCCTGTTTTTATGCCTATAAAACTAGTTTTTGCTTCTCAAAGCTTAAAACTAAAAATTCAATTTAACATCTTCTTGTAAATGATTAAGTGGAATGTTTTTCAATAGATAATGCAATAACATTGCTGTTTAAAAAAATAAAAGTTAAAATAAGCCTCTCTTTGAAACAAAGCTTGAACAGGATTGCACAGTTAGAAAATATAAACTTAAAAATATTTTAAGACATAAAAATGTCTCGAAGCTTGTATTAAGTCTCGGTAGAATCTTATCGTTTACAAATTTCTTATAATGTATAGGAATATTTTTTTTTTGAGAAATGAGAAAAATTACTTTTAAATGGAATGTCTACAAATAAATGTAGCTAACATACATTTTGATTATAGAAACAAGCAAAAGAACAAGTAACTGCTTTCTGAAAAGTTTTTGTAGTGTTGTCATTGTTTATATTACACTGTATAAACAATGAAATTGTTCTCAAGCTGGATCGTTTGTTATGAAAGTATTTAAACAAGTAATAAATTTTTTTTTTAAAAAAGTGAATTCCTATTAAGGTCAACTAAGAAAAATCTTATTTTTTTATTAAATAATGACAATTTTTACCTCCCATATAAAACTAAAATTAATGAATTTAAATGAATGAATCAATATTTGAAAAAAAACTGTATATTAACATTAAGTGTCTTTAAAAAAATGTATATGAACTTGAATAGATGAATAAAAAGTATTTTATGAATGATTTGAAGAAGATGTAGGGAGAGAGTGTGAACTAAAAGTAGGAATTGAAAAATGGCACCCATTTTACCTTATCTTTGGAAAACTATTTATTTAAATTTACTTATGTGGATGCTAAAATTTACATTTGTTTCAATAGTTAACATTTGTTAGAGAATCTAAGATTTGTTTCATAAGTTTTCAAAAAAATATTACTTATTAATTTCACAATTAGAGAATAGCTATATTTAATGGTAGAACAAAAAAGTGAAAAAAAAAGTTTTTTTTTCTTCCAATTTTTCCTCGTTAAGTTTATAAATTTTAATTTCTAAAATTTAACTAATTTATTTTTATTATTAATTAATAAGTAACACATTTTAATTTCACCCCTTAACTGCCGAGGAGCGTATATATATATGTCTCGGTCAGACGATGCGTTAACTGCCGCAGGCGTACATATAAGCTTTCCCGAACTGCGATGTTTTGCGTTGCGCTGCTATAAACAGAACTACACCCTCGACTTCTGAATGCAGTAAAATGACCTTGTAAGTGTTTGCCAATGAATGTATTACCAATTTCGGAGAAGGGGGAATGGAAAAGGGAGGTATTGGAAAAGTTACATTATCGTATTTATTGCTTGTGTGTTTCTATTTAAGTTAGGTCGGGTTTATTCTTCTTTTACTTTCGTTTCCCGTGTATATTCGTTGCGAATCCCGCTATCAGTGCAATGAATGTGATGTTGGTTTATGTGTCTATCCATGTTTCAGGATTTATCATACAACAGCTAAGTTTTAACATCTTTTATATTGTATTTTTATATTTTATTTTTATTCTTTGATTTAAGTTTTGTATTTTTTATTTTTCCTTTTTCTTCTCCTGTGAAAGTAAATTGTTTTTAAATTGCAACACACACACATTCCCCCCCACCAAAACACCGCATAACAAAGCGCACTTGAGCGAAAAACGGTGGTACTGGGGAGTGAATCACGTAAATTTTACTCGGCAGGTAAGGGGTTAAGATACAACATACTTAAGATGATTTCTTTTTTCATTCTAAGCTAATAGTGTCAATATTTTGCAGTGTGAAAGATATAGGGTTGCCAAATTTGATTTCACAATAAAAAGATAAAGTAAATGCTCTTTAAGAACTAAACAAAGAGAATAATTTCAAAAGGATAAACAAATGGATACTAGAGTAATCATAATAAATAACGAGTCATATCTAAGTCAGATAAAGAAAAAGTTATTGGGATACTTTTAGTGCGACTATTTGTAGAAAATATAGATTGAATTTTAAATTGTTTTAACAAAAACTTTTAAACAAAATTAAAAATTATTTTGAAGCAATTTAAAAATATTTTCATAGCTGCCAACATGAATAGGAAAAAAAAATCCAGCAGATTTTACAAAATAATACATACTTCATGATAATTGTTGCATAATGTACTAAATATTTTACACATAGGGAATTTTTATAGTCTTTAAAATATAAAAACTGCAATATTTTCCAGTTCTGACTAACGTTACACACACTTGAAATCTCATGTATTATGCAACTTATATTAGACTTGGAGGTTGGGCAGCTCTGACGAGCAGGGCACATCGACCAGAGGTCTATTATACCCACTGCAACTTATATTAAAAGTCATTTAATTCGCCAAATATAGTTAAAAGATTTTTTTTAAAATTAAAAGAGAGTTCTGAAAAAAAATAAAACTGAACATTTCAGAAGAAAAAAAAGTTTTTAATTGATTTCTATAAATGAGGTTCGCTTCATTATGTATTAGTAATGCTTATTTAATTATTCAAGGAAGCAATTAATCAATAATCTGCACAAAAATTATATTTCAATAGAAATTCTTTTAAGAAACTTACTCAATTTTAGAGAATTTTCTAGCCAGGAGAATTTTAATTAAACCAGTATACCAGGAGAAACTGGCAAAATCCAGGAAAGTTGGCAACTATGTATTTTGTTGCACTTTTTCTTATTTTTAAACCAAATATTAAAAAACCATACTCAAAAAAATATTCCAATAAAATATTGGCAATTAGTTTCATTCATTCCAAAGTTATGAAAATTTTTTTAATTGTCTATTATCTAAAACAAATAAGAATAATTAAAAAGCATTAATAATTAGTTAAAACTTTAAAGAAAAGTTAAAGTTGTAAATAATTTGATAATAAATTGATTAAAAAAAACTAAACAGAGCATATTTCATTCATAAATAGAATTAAAAGCACATAATAGTATCAAGTTTAACCATTTTTTTATATGAGCTTTATAAAAACAGCAATAACAGTTGTCGTATTTTTCAAAACATAAGGAAAAAATATTAATATTCACTTAACTTTAGTATTGGTACAACTAAAGTAATTTCATAGACCACAAATTTACAATAATATTAAGGAAAAATATGTACAGTTTATAACTATAAATAAAACTATGTTGCGTTTTCACATTAAGAGATGAATGATAGTTGTCCACACCTTTTTTCAGAAGCCGCAAACTTCCTTACACCAGTTTTGGCTTTGATACTAAGAGGGTTCATTATTAAAATCACATTTGCATTTTTATCAGTGGAATGATATTAAATAATGAAACATTGAGATGATGATGATGTCCATTTGTTCCAGATCAATCATTATTTTGGAATGTTAAGAGGGGAAAAGAACAAAAACAATGATATTTCATTTGAAAAAATATTGCAAATGAATCATTTTTTTTTACAAATACCTTCTCAAAGTCAAAACTTTTAAGAATCATTCACTTTTTCTTAGCATCTCTCTTCTGGTGTTTTGCTTTCCTTTTCTCTTCTTTCCTCCTGGTTCGTTCCTTTAGACTTTCGTATAGTTTATAACCAAAAAAACCTAAAATGTAATTTAATGCACAACATTAAAATAGTGATAAAATTATCATAGATTAATTACAAATAGGCTGAATAAGTTTCACAAATTAAAGATATAAATCATAAAAATCAGGACATAAGTTCGGCAAGATTATTGGTCACCACTTATAAACAGCGGTCATCAAAAAAAATTACTATCATCGACCAAATTTTTTTTTCTGCAATTGGACAGCCTTTTCTGCCAATTAACATTAAACATACCAATACTTAATATATACCTATTTCTAACATAGCCGGTCACATGACCGAACTTTGTGTTTCTTCATTGAATGTTCGAAATATGGATGTTAGGAAGGAAATAAACTAAAAAAACAAAGTTAAACGAAATTGTATTATCGTATTGTGGCCTCTGTGCGCCTATTGTGGGCATCGTGGCAGAATTTTTTTCGAGCTATTTGCAACAAAACACGCTATCACTAATACTTTTCAGCAAGATACTTTTAATAATAAGCATATATGTTAGTAATTTAAAGTAGAGCTGTGTTTACAAATAGAAAAAAAAATATATATAGATATTTTTTAATCGAACATGTAATAATTTTTTATTCTTATATTATGGGTGATATTCGCTCATTTTGTTGGACTAGAAAAAACATCACGGGACCCAATGAAAAGGTATAATTTATAGCCACCCCTCAAAAAACGCCTACATGTTTTTTTCTTTTTACAAAAATTTGCAAGTTTGAAATCTATTTGTTATGGTGGCGATAGTTGGCACAACAGATCACAATAAGGAAATATCCCTTGGTTATGAGTTTTATCTTCTCAGTTTACGTGTTAGAGTATAAAGAATGCCACCATCAAAACTTTGGTACTGTTCGAGAAATCTTCTCACAAAATAAAAACAGAAAGCTTTAAAATTGATACATTAAATATCTTGTTATAAATATTTCCACAAAATCTCAAATAATTCAGCCCTTCCTTACGCTGAAATTTATATCCTATTTAAAATTCAAATCATGAAATCATTCACATTTCCCCTACATACTTATGATTAAATGAAGATAAAATAAAACATATTTATTTTATTTAATAAATTAGATAAACACTGCATTATAAAGCAAAACTCAATTATTACAGTCATGTTTGGCATTCATGAATTAAACGCAAGATGTTCAAAAGCAATAGAAGAAGTCTAAAACAATTTATCAGATTAATATGTCAGATATCAAAATATGGTATATACACATATGTTTTCGTTGATGACAAAGTCATAATACATTAATAAAAGACAACATTTAAAAAAATAAATTGTTTTTAATTAAATTAAATTCACAAATTAGTAGAAGGTGAAAATCAGGAAAAGTGGTATAAAAACCGCGCTGAGAATTCGTTTATTTACCCATCAATCCAATGACTATAACAGCAGGAAAAATAAAAACCCAATTACTGAATCCATGCTCAATGGGACCTGCAGGCCCGGTTCCTGTTAAATCTACCATTAGTCTATTATTTCTCTCTCTTTTTTTTTTATCAGAAGAGAAAATAAATATTGGAGTGAAATAAATTTTCTATAACAGAAACTTCTAAAAGGAATACGACGATATATCTTCGCTCGATTTAGATATCGAATAATTCTTAAATCGATATAAATAACTCCATTGGATGGTTCCTCTTTTTTTATTGCTTATGCGATCCTTGCGTAAAGGATGAACATTTTTTAAGAATTAAGAAAAGTCTAATGTTTCGACAATTAATATATTCTATTGTTAATTTGAAATTAGCTTGAAAAAGTGGAATTAATTGAAAAAGTGGAAGGCCTAATTGTTATTTCAAATTTGTTTCTTAAAGCCGGCTGTGTCCCGCAGTGGACTGATCATTAAGACACGGTTCCCAGCAGATCACCGAAGTCAAGCATCACTGGCTGCGGTCAGTGTGCGGGTGGGTGACCACTTGGATTAGTCTGCGTAGGGACCGAGGGTGTGCGGTATTGGTCCTCGTTAAACTGTTCTACCGTAAAGTGCTCGACTTCGCGTGCAGGTCGTCGGGCTACCGAAGCGGGGGTGCCATCCCCTCTGCAGAGGATCAAAATTGTGATGGCATGTCTTCGGATCATCCTCAGGGATGTTTCCCAGACCGTCGCCAATAGCCCATTGTGCAGCTTTAGTGTGACGTAAATAAAATACCTACCTACCGGCTGTTGCTTAGCTGCTTGACTTTTTAATAAATGGAGGCATTTGATTGGTCGATACTGAAATGGCATTATGGTGATGGCTTGGTAAAGTATGGAGTTATAAAAAGGCTGGCATTTAAGGCAGTGCTGCAGCCGCTACGAATCCTTGCTGAAGAATTATATGATGGTTATTGTTTAATCGATAATGGCTACAGGTGGCGCAGAGCAGATCTCTTTATCCATGTGAACAATTGCGTTAGTTTCTGTCTTGATTTTCAATTAAATAAAAGGCTTTTAAGTTATCAAAACATGTAAACAGTCTTCTCTCCAGACGGCGGCGTATTCGAGCATTGCGATCACGAACCGTTACTTTGACTTTGTGTGTTTAATAAATTTCAGCCTTCATTGGGATTTTTCAATTATTTCTGGAATGTATTACTTTTCGTCTTTTTTTCATTCAAAATTTTTACTTACTGTAGAGAATATTATCTTTTTTTAATTATGCTTTTTGGATTCGGAATCTTCCCGTTAAACCTCAAAATTATTGCATTTAAATGGAAATTTATACATTGGTTCTCCTTGTGATAAAGCGTGAAAAAATCCTTTAATAAAGTTAGTCTCAAGGTGAAAATAATCTTATGTCTAGGTAATGTTTCTTTACGCAATGTCTTGCATGTTCAGCTAAAATCCACCTTGTTATGAAATTTTAATGGATAATGTAATTAGATCCTATCGCTAGTGTGACGTCAGCTAAAACGTCATTTTGGATCTAAGTGATAATACAAGTTTGAATAAGTGATAACATGTAAAGTCACTTGCATATAAAGCCATTAGCAAATCAACGCGCTTTTTCTCACAGAATAGAGGCAGAAAGAATGAGGTTTTGATCCCGTGTCTCTTTCAATCATCGGAACTCTTCGATTTCTGCATTTTCCACCACTCGAATTCCTTTCCTGCTTGGTTCAATTCTTTTCTCAATACTCCAAGCTTAGACTGGTTGGTAGGGCACTGGGCCCATGCACAAGAGGTCCCCACAGGCCAAAATCTCCCAGTGTAGTAAATGGAGACTGATTCACGTTAAACCAGTTGAGTCACAAAGTCCTCCATGTTCCCATAACAAATCATACCTCGGGAGTATTGATCTAGGAGTTTCCTTGTCTTCTGGATTGTTTTCAAAATTACAAGGCTACGGAGTTGAACATTAGTAATTGTAAACCCAAAATTGGGTCGACTATTCAACGACGGTTATAAAATATAAAATTAAATACTCCAAGCTGCTTCAATATTATGCTTCTTTTAAATGATCTTCGATATTGTACTTTTATACTTTATATTTTTAAACAAACAATAGCTATTTTAGTCTTTCTAATTTGCCATCATTAATTTTATTTAAAATTTCTATTTTTTTCTGACAATCATGACTACTGTACAATGCGCAAAATAAAATAGAACGGACCACCTTGAATAACTTTTGATCTAATCATCGGATTTTCACGCTCTAGGACTGAATCTTGACTTTAAGGGGTTGACCTCAAATAGGCTAATTAATGAGTGCAGGCAATATTTTAAGTAACAAATCCGACACAAAAGCGTACTTTCTCTCAATAAACAAACTTTTTTTCTGTCGGTTTTGGATTTCTGCCCCCCCCCCCAAATAAAAAGGGTAGCCGCAATCTGTAAAATAGGGTCCCCTTAGTTTTGTCAGGAATGCGGCCCAAAGTTGGGACCCTTATTAATTTTATTTTTTGCGTGTTCCGCCATATCTGGAGAAAATTTTAAGTGAATCGAAAACTTATGCACACACCTCTATAATTCCTTTATGCAAAGATAATTTCATACAAAAGATAACTTATGGTAAATATTTATTGTTTTTTATTATTTTATTTAATAATAGTCGAAAATTGTTTCAATCGTTAGGTATACATATTATTACATAATTTTAAAGCATCCCATCTTACATGACAAAATATAAAGTTTGAGCAAAACAGGTCGAATAGCTCTTGAGAAATTGAATTTTTAAGATAAGGCTTCGTTAAAATTCGATATTTCAGGAACTATACAACCGATTAGTTTTATATTTTGTCTATTAAAATTATACGCTTTAAAATGTTGTAAAAAAATTCAACTCTTTATAATTAAAATTTTTTTAGACAATTATTAAATAAAATATTAAAAGAATTATAAATATTTAATAAAAGTTATATTTTTCATAAATTATCTTTGGATAAACGAACTTTATAGTGGTGTGCAAAATTTTTCGACACGCTTGAAAAGTTCTTCTATGTCTTAGGTGTCAGAAATCCGAGCCCATCATAAAAAAAGGTATGTTTATTTAGAGAAAGTACGTTTTAGCGTCTCATTTCGTAATTGCGGTGGACCACACACCGCAAATTACTCAAAATGTCCAAAAGCCCCTAAAAAACTAAATAAGAAAGGTACCAAAAATGTGGAATCTCGTAATACCCCAAAAACCTTCTTAGCAAAAAAGACAACTCCCGAACTTAGCTTTGCCAGAGCCGTTTCGAGCAATGGCAATAATAGCAAAGAAACTGGATCAAGGCCAGATGAAAGTAAAAATCTAAATTCAGAACAAAGCTCACATGCCCTTGACCAAATTTCAGAGCTTGTAAGATTTGTTAAAAATCTTGAAAAAATTTTCAGTCAGGATCTTAAGACGATCAATGACAATATTGAAACCACCGAAAATCCCCTAAATCAGTTGTTCACCATAATGAACCAATTCTTCCGAAACAATAACCAAGGAATTAACTCAAACACCAATAATGCAACAAGCCACTAAAAACAATATCCTCATCTGCCATTGGAATGCCGGTGGATTAAGACCCAAAATTAATGATCTAAAAATTTTTTGCCAACAATATAGCCCCGATATTATTTTACTTCAGGAAACCAAACTCAAACCCAATGAACCCATCAAAATTTGTAACTATGCCTTTTTTCATACCCCCCGGAGTAATTGCAGTAGAGGCCAATATGGAGGCACAGGAATCTTAATAAAAACCCTTACCCCCCACCGACAAATATTCCTCCCCCCCTTGCCAATATGGAGGCACAGGAATCTTAATATAAACCCTTATCCCCCACCGACAAATATTCCTCCCCCCCTTAGAATTTGTGAAGCCAGCAATTGAAATATGTATTAATAACGACAACTACCTACTGGTGTCCATTTATATTAACCCCAAAGCTAACATAGCTTTTACTTTAGATATTGAAAACATTTTAAGCATTAATCGAAATATCCTTATTGCGGGAGACTTTAATTGTAAACACAGAGCCTGGAATTGTCCAGTAGCAAACAAAAACGGTAAAAAATTACAAGATTTTATTGAAAAAGCAAAACTAGACCTTTCCTTTCCAGATACACCAACCAGATTCGGTTTAAATACAGCCAACACACTTGATTTTGCGATTCACAGAGGACTTAATTTCCAAGTCCAGTCCAGAACAATAAATGAGCTTTCCTCTGACCATAACTCAGTTCTCATTAACCTAGATCTCCAAATGCCGCCCGATCATAAAAAACCAAAAGTCTTCACAGACTGGGATTCCTACGCCGATATCTTAACCAATGCCGAAATTAACTTCAACCCGATCCACTCTAAAGAAGATCTTGACGCGACAATAGAAAACCTTTCAGCTACAATTAAAAAAGCCCATCAAAATTCAACCAAAGAAATTAAAAACGCTAAAAATTGCCTCATTCCCAAAAGTATTCTTAATATCATTAAAAATAGAAATAGAGCTCGCAAAAAATGGCAAAGAACGAGGCACCCTGAAGACAAAAACCTCCTTAAGGAACTAAATCACAGAGTCAAAACTGATATCAGTAATTTTCAACAAGAGAAATGGGAAGACTACATCAAAAATTTGAACCCAGAAGATGGCTCCATCTGGCGAGCAGTAAATAATTTCAAAAAAAAGAAAACCTTCTACCCCCCCCTTAATTGACGATAAACAAAATGATAAAGTGATCTATTCCATCCAAAATAAAGTTAATCTTATGGCAGAAAGTCTAAAAAACCAACTCAGTAATAATAAAAAAGTCCCCCAAGAAACCCAATCTGCCGTTCAAAATTCCATTAATATCATTGATAACTCTCCCATCGACCACCCACCAGATAACATCTTGCCGAACGATATTATAACTGCAATTAAAAAACTTAAAAATAAAAAATCCCCAGGCAAAGATTCCATCAATAATAAAATGCTTAAAAATTTACCTATTAAATTTATCTTCTACCTCACCCACATTATTAATGAAATCTTTAAACTCTGCTACTTTCCCGATTGTTGGAAAATAGCCGAAATAAGACCCCTCCCCAAACCTGGCAAAGACCACTCCAGAAGTTCCCAATGAAGAAATAGACACACCCATAACTTCTGTTATCATATTATTGTCTTCTCAACGTAAAATTTTTATAGAATTTTGTAAATATCAAAATCCCCTTGTAAATAAATAACCCACTTCATACTTATTTATATTGTTAACATTATTACTGTTATGAACCCCCTGTAAAAAAATGACCCCATTCATTTGCATTGTACA